ATATATGTATATATATGTGTGTGTGTGTGTGTGTGTGTGTACGTATATATTCTGATTTGCAGAGTGATATTTATAGACTATTATAGCAAACTTTGCATGATAAAACAGGATGTGAGTGCAATTGTCATTTTTGTGTAGTACCCTAATAATGTACTTTAACATACAAAAAATATATGAACAATGTTTAGGATCACGTGTTTGATTTTTCTCATTCAAAAAGATAACTTAAAGTTTCTAAAAATATTTTAAGCCAGAGAGCATTTTGACAAGAATATAAAACCACCACCATGTTGTTTATAAAAAATACAATTCTATTTTGAAAAACACAAAGTGAAAGTCATGTGTCTTTATTTAAACTCTAATTTACACACAGAGAGGTTTGAAATGCCAATATTTACATATAATACAGTTGATGAGGAGATAAAGACTATATTTTCCCACATTCTTTTCTGATATGGCCTGTAGTAGACTTATGACTTTTTGCTATACTTTTTGTTGACTTGTGTTTCTAGTACATGCTCAGATACAATAACTCCACAACATTGTGTTTGCATTTCAAGAAGTTTCACATATAGTTAAACCTTAAACAAGTGCAAATTACACAGCTCTCTCAAAACCAGTCAAACAAGCACCAACTATTGACTTGTTAAATTAGTTTGTTTTAGATTTAGCACTTTTTAACTTGTACTACAGCTTTAGCAGATGTGGAACTTAAGGGACTACACATTTTAGAAATATAACTAGTGTTGGGGGTAATGAATTACAAGTAATGCGAGTTACGTAATCAGATTACTTTTTTCAAGTAATACATTACTTTTTAATTTACATGAAACTATTTGAGTTACTTTGTTTTCCCATTTACTGACTGACAGCTCTGCTTTCCTCATGTTGAGAGAAATCAGGAGTGAGTGCAGAGGCGTTGTGCGCGCTGTGTGAACATGACGCTTCCTGTAGTTCTAAACTAAATGTGAACATGCATTTACTCAGCTCACTTGCACAAAAACAGATTCAGTGTTCCTCAAAATGGATAAACACAGAATAACTCAGAATATGACACAAACCTGCAATAATTCAATTATTTTCTTCAGCCTGAGGCTTATTCATTTCACTTTTGGTGTGAAATGGCTTTTACATTTGCCAAAAATAGAACTTTGTTTATATTAAAAACAAACAAGCAAGCCCAGGCCAGATGAGAAAAAGTGATGCAAAAGTAACATTACTTTCCATAAAAAAAGTAAAAACACAGTTAGTTGCTTTTTTTTTTTAAGGAGTAATGCAATATTGTAATACATTACTTTTAAAAGTAACTTTCCCCAACACTGAATATAACAACAGCTCATTTCTATGATTTTTTAACTGGTTTTGCTGAATAAATGGAATGATCTTTCACCAACACACAGGCTGCGTGAATAGCATACAACAACTGTATACTGTTCATACAATTAATATTTTCCTTAGGCATGGAATATTTGTCATACATTTGTCTAAATTTGACAAAACGTGCAGTATTTAGTAGGGCAAACACTGGGTAATCCATCCCACAATGCAATGTGCTTGATCTGACCACACATTTTCCATGCAATTGCACATCTGTGGTTTTTAACACCTTATTTCATTATGTGATCGCCAAAGAAATTTTAACACAAAATTAGATTTAAAAACACAAGACTATTTTTATGAAGTCATATGACAACACAGTATCGCATTACTCTTGCAAACACTGCGCTACAGTATGCTTATATTCCATTTTGAGCATAGTTACCATGGCTTTGATTCCAGTATTGTTTACACTGACAAAAATCCGGTCCAATAAACAATTTCTGTGTTTCAGTGTTCTAATCTCTATTTTGGTTTCGGTGATCTAATCTCTATTTTGCACTGTGAATAAAGCTGGCCAACCAGCCAATAATGTTCACACTTTTTTTGTCACATGCCCAAAGTCGCTGCTGTTACATGAAGCTAAAACTTGGTGGCGCTCACAGATATACTAAACAGATTTTTCTAAGCAACAGTGAATAGCAGAGGAAGAATCCAGAAGCAGCTTTCTTGTCTTTGTGTTTGGTGTTGTTTGGTAAAGCAATAAGCCCCAAGAAGCCTGCTTCGCATCGTGCCTAACAATGCCCCTTAGCTGTTATAAATTCACTGTAAACCACAGCTTCACGGGGCTTATTGCTTTTATAAAACGGTTATTCCATATACGTAGTAAGGTTTCACAGAATAAAACAGATCAAATAAAGTGTAATGATATTAATACAAACAGTATTCTTCCACCAAACAATGTAGTTCCTCAGAAACAGTTGTGGTTGCAACAAAGTGGTTGCTGAGCAACACACAAAGTAAACAAAGGTGTATGTTTGTAGAGTAATTTACAACAGCTTCGAACGCGGCTCAGCCAATCAGAATCAAGGACCGGAACTATCCATTGTATAATAAACAATATAAATGCAAAAATCTAAACTGCTGTTAGAAAACGTGAATAATGTTTTGATTTCCAAGCAAATGTCAACGGAATGAAAAGGTAACGGAAAGTTGTTTTTTTTTGTGCTGGAGTAATTCTGCTTACTTGTAAGCGTACACGTACAATGAGTGAAATTGCATTTTCATGCATTCCGTCTGACGTATTGTTCTAAATTATGAAAGCACATTTCCACCACTGAATTAAAAATGTAAAAAAGGTAATTGTGACTTTATCGCACAATTCTGTCTTTTTCTCTCAGAATTGCGAGATGAGTCGTTATAAAGTCAGAATTGCAGGATATAAACTCACAATTGCAAGAAATAAAGATATAAACTCACAATACTGACTTTTTCCACAATTGCAAGTCTATATCACACAAATTTTTTTTCTCTCCCAATTCTGATTTTTTTTTCAATTCTGACTTTTTAACAAGCAACTATGACATTGTATCATGTAATTCTGACTTTATAATAGGGATGCACCGATACCGATACTGGTATCGGGCCACTCACCCTCACTACAAATCTCACGACTGTCTTTCATGATTCATGAAGAAATCATTATTTCCAGTCAGATCTTTTCTGTGAATCTGCTGATCCAGTTCACAAAACCAGCCTGAGGCATCGTGAAACAGGCTGATCCAGTTCTTTAGCTCACTGGTTTAAATGATTATCTGTGAATATTGACCTTAATTTTAATCATTTGTCTTCACACAAAGATATTGTGTGACTTCAGAAGACTTTTTATGGTGTTTTTAAATCTTTTTTTTTTAAAGCATCACAGCCAGAGTCCCACAGTTTGTGCTGCACGATAAATTCTATTTTAATCATGATCAGGATTTCTGCTTTTCACAGTTGATTAGGCATAATCATCAGGTCAAATAATAATTAATAGAATAATTTAAGTTTAGAATAACTACGATTTTTTTGTTTTGAAAGAAGTATTTTATGCTCACCAAGGCTTCATCTATTTGAACAAAAATACAGTACTATTGTGAAATATTATTACAAATTCAAATAACTGTTTTCTATTTTAGTATGTTTTAAAATGTAATTTATTCCTGTGAGGCAAAGCTGAATTTTCAGCATCATTACTCCAGTCTTCAGTGTCACATGATCCTTCAGAAACCAATCTATGACACCATTTTATGATTTCACCATTGTTCAAAACATTTTTTTCTGCCTAATATTTTTTGTGGAGACTTCGGAAACATTAAATAAGCTGGTAAACATTAATTTAGGAACAATTATCACTATTAACTAGTTGATTATTAGCATGCAATAGTACTAGCATATTGGCTGTTTATTAATACTTATAAAGCACACGTTAATGCTTTTTTCTGCAAGGCCATATTCTACATCCCTTAACCCAACCCAATACCTAAACTTAACTACTGCAACAACCACCTTACTTACTACCAATAAGCAGCAGTTAGGAATTAATTAAGGGAATACTCTTAGTTAATAGTGAATGTGTTCCCTGAAGTGTTACCAAAAATCATAATGATTTACCCTTTTCCATTTTTGCCATTGTTGTCTATTTCATTACTATTTTAATGCTCGAATGCTGCTGTTAAATAGCCTATAATAATAATAGCACATTGTTTTAGCGGGCATTATGATCTTACCCAGCATGTCCATTTGAGATGGTACTTCAGTGCAGAAGCGCAACCTGTGTCCCAAACTTCCTTCGACTTCCTCTCCATCTTCCTCCTGCTCCTCATCCTCTCCCTCTCTTCTCTGCATCTCCACCCGTTCCTCTTCCTCCCACTCTTCCTCTTCCACTGAATAGCTGCAGCTGATCGGCTCTCTGAAGCTGACCCTGGCGGTGCTGCTGCGGACCGGTGCTGCAGGGGCGTCCTCGGCTTCAGTGACAGCGGCCGGGGGATCCGAAGGGCTTGGCGAATCAGACGGATGGAAGAAAACAGGGGGAGGAGGAGGCGGGAAGGAGTCGGAGTCATTTAGATCATCAAACGCATCTGAAGACTCCAGTTGAGAGGAAATTCCTATGAGGCCAGGTAAGAAATACAGCTTCAGATGTGACAGATAGCTTTACTGAATCGGACTCTGTAAAATCAAGCATACCTGTACAACTGACGTTCCCACAATCCTTTGCAGTGGAAGTCCCTCTAGACGTGCAGCTCAGCGGGAAAGGGCCAAATTCTGCGTATCCGTTCAACTCCACGGTAAACTCCAGACTGTCTGGCCGGTGATTCCCCTGCTGTGTGCTGATGCCTGATTGGTCCTTGCAAACGAATGCTGTCCTGTCATTGGCTGCTGGACGGAGCTGTGAGTGTTGTGTGTGTATTTGTTCATACGGTGGAGGTTGGCCATTCGGAATAGGATGGAAAGAGGTGAGAACACCTGCAGAACGAACAAGCGGATAATTAGAGATTCTTCTGAATACAAACAGTGTCAATTACATGCATGGAGGACATTTTTACAATTGCTGATCACATACACATCGTCCTGGTTATGTTTTGGTAATATGTTTTAAAAATGTGTTTTTTTTTTTTTTGAGAGAAGTCGTCTCTTACCATCACCAAGGCTGCATTTATTTGATACAAAATAGTTATATTGTTAAATAATAGTACAGTTTAATATAATCGTTTTCTGTTTTATTAAATCTGGTATGTAACTTTGACGCAAAGCTGAATTTTCAGCATCATTCAGTGTCACATGATCCTTCAGAAATCATTCTGATATGCTGATTTGCTGCTCAAGAAACATTTCTGATTATTATCAATGTTTTGCTACTTCATATTTTGTGGAGATACTGTGATACTTTTTTTTTCAGGATTCTTTGAATTTTTACATTTTATTTGAAATAGAAATCTTTTGTAACATTTTAAATGTCTTCACTGACACTTTTGATAAATGTAATCCATCCTTGCTGAATAAAAGTAACAAAAGTAATAATAATAATGAAGAAAATCAAAGATATTTTAGGACCTAAACACTGATCATCTTGTCTGCAAACTTTTTTTGAAATTATGCATACATACAATTATACTTTTCAATTAAAATAACATTTATTTTATTTAACTGTTATGATAATTTTGGGAGGAAAACTGCTTAATTGTGTTTAATCACCATTGAGATTAATGAGATTTCAAAGAGATTTCACTTTTTCCAAGTTAACAAAGATAAAAAAAAATACTACTATTATGTATGTTTCAAATGCACTTTAATTTGAAGAATATCTCTTTTCTTCATTTTTTTTAAATTAAAAATAAGAATTCTGTGAGAAAATGTGCTTAATCATTAAGATTAATGATAATTATTTAAAAACAAACCTAAAGAAATAAAACATTAAGACATATTACAACAATGAGAATATTTGGGAAAATATTATTACTTGTCATGAAAACAATGTCACATTTCTTAATATTACTAAAAATAGTCTTTTCCTTTATGCTAAATATTTTTTTACTTTTGACTTTGGAAATGATAGAAATTATATTTCTAGCTAGCTTTTGTGAGATGCACCTGAATTATGTGTGTTTGTTTGTTTTTTGGAGAAAATAATGCATATGTGTGAAGTTTCATAGAAAAACACATGATAACATGTACCTTTGCTGTCCAGTGTAAAATGACCCCCGTTGGCTGTTGTTGTGCTCGCTGCTCTGACGGCGGCAGTGACGTTGGCTCCCTCCTGTGGCCGTGGTGTGGAAGTGCGCTGCTGGTTTTGAACGGTCTTGTGTGACACTGGTTTGCTCTGCAGGGCAGAATCGCAGGAGTCGGAGTTGTCTGGGTCGTCCCCGAGCGAGCAGGAGCGGGAGCAGAAGATGAGTCCGCCGCGAGGCAGGAAGGGTCTGCCCAGCAGAGGGAGCCGACAGCAGGCGCAGCAGAAACACGCCTCGGACGCGTGCCAGTGCTGGCCCTCGAACGTCATCTGACCCTGGTCTATACCTGCAGACAGAGAGCGAGGAAGTCAAACGCTCAAACCCTTCAATCAGGAAGCACAGCATTTCTCTGTAATTACTGAGCTTTTTACTGCCGTCATCGAATGGAATGCAAGTTAAGCTTCTGCATCTGTAGCAATGCTGTCATTTACACAGAAAGAACTTCAACATGTGCTTCAGTTTGTAAAAACAATCAAAGGTGTTTTTCAAGAATCAAGAAATCAAGTGTGTTCATGGTATGGCAAGTGGGCAGCGCAACAAATAAAGGTTTTATATATGCAACTAGTGCATCCTTTTAAAAGTAACTTAAGCCTATTAAGTAGTATTGTAGAAAATAATAATAATAATAACAGAAAGGCCGTTTATTTACATTACCATTCAAACGTTTGAGGCCATCTTTTAATTTATTTTGAAAGAAGTCTTATACTCATCAAGGCTGGATTTGTTAGTAAATCTTTTGTGTATAAACAGTGAAATATTATTACAATAATAAAAAAAAAGATTTCTATTTTAATATATTTTAAAATGCAATTTATTTCTGTGATCAAAGCTGAATTTTCAGCATCATTCCTCCAGTCTTCAGTGTCACATGATCCTTCAGAAATCAGTCTAATATGCTGATTTGCTGCTCAAGAAACATTTCTGAGACAGTGATGCTGCATCATATTTTTGTGGAAACGGATATTTGTTTTCAGGATTATTTGAATAAAAAAGCTCATCTGCAATAGAAGTCTTTACTGCAACTTCTGACAAATGTAATGATGCATCCTTGCTGAATAAAAATAATTTATTTAAAAAAAAACCTTGCTGATCCCAAACTTTTAAATGATAGTAGCTTCTGATGTTCTGGTGGCATTTCATAATACAGATTATTATAATGTTGAGGCTTTAATATGAGACTTAAATTTCATGATAAGTTTCATTATAAGTTCATGACAAATAATACATTTCCCCCTAAATTCTCAATATTGTAATGCAAAAATCTACAGTGCCCTCCACTAATATTGGCACCCTTGATAAATATGAGCAAAGGCGGCTGTGAAAATAAATCTGCATTGTTTATATAGGTTAGAATTTTTTTGAAAGATCAATAGGATAAACGATGCAGATTTATTTTCACAGCCGCCTTTGCTCATATTTACCAAGGGTGCCAATATTAGTGGAGGGCATTGTATATTATGTATGTTATTTAAATTATATTTATACATAATGGTAGTATTTGTTGCATTTTCTTTAATTTAAACGGATGTAAAAAAATATATATATATTATTATTTATAGTGATGTGATATTATGATAAAAAGTGGGAGATAAAATATCCAAAAATATGCTAAATTCAATGTAATTTTTTTCCCTTTGATGAAATGCTTTTGTTCAGCCTCAAAAATGCTGCTATATATTTTAGTTGTATTTACTCAGCGTTCTTTTGATCTTTTTCCCACTCTCTCGCTGTGTGTCATGTCCATGTAATCTAGTGCTGGTATACAGTGTTGTCAGTCTGCTCTCACCGATATGTTCTCCGCAGGTGTCGCAGTATTCGGCGTACAGAGACTCGTAGCAGTGGCAGCAGTACGGCCGGCTCTCTCTCATGATGTAGCGCTGGCCACCCAGCGCTGCCTCACACTCGAAACAGCAGAAGTGCTTCATGTGCCAGTGCCGGGCCTCCGCCTCCGTACACTCGTCCGCAAAGATGATCTGATCACCACAGGAGGAGCAAGAAACTGCGTAAGTCACATACACAGCAACAGTACGTGTGTTTGAACCCACTCAATAAATCATGCAGGGCCAGACTGAACTCTATTAGTTCATTTAAAGTGCCCCTATTATGGATTTTTGAAAAGTACCTTTCATGCAGTGTGTAACACAGCACTAGGTGAATGAAAACATCCTGCAAAGTTTTAAATCTGAAAGTGCACTGTGTATAAAGAGTTGACTCTGAATCATTGAAACGAGTCGTTTTTAAAACGAATCCCAAGCCATTTCATGTTGACGTCAACATGAAACATTAGCATATTGCCCGCCCACTTTTTGGTCTTTTCACGTTGGTCTGAATAAAAATGCAAATTCATTATTTGCCACTAGGTGCTGCTTTTGGAGCGGTAAAAATAGTGGCTTCCCCGGTAACGCTGTACACAAAGCAGCACTGCGCTCACAAACGCTGCTTTATCAGGCATTACAGGCGAGATGAAATGAAAATGAGACCAATCGGACCAATCACCGCAGATTAGCGTCACGCAAAGGAGGGGTTTGGAAAAATGAATCGTTGAGCGAATCGTTTGGGAGTCGTTGAGCAAATAAGGTAAAAAATAAATGCTTTTTTGACCTTGCATGCAAAAATTTGGTCTAATAGTGAAATAACGTTTTGTAATTATAAATAGTGTTTAAATTAATTACTGCTATTAAATACTCATTGATGCGGGGCTGGGATCAAATTCGATTGTATAGTATTATCATAACAGCGTTATTATAGTTACTTAAAAATAAACCATATAAAAACTTTTTTTCCTTGAAATAAAATATTTTAAAAAATCTAATTTTTGTGTAGTTTGTTGAAATAATAAAATAAAAACAAAGTATAATAAAAATGACAAAAATGCAGAAATAAATTACTAAAACGTAAAAACAAAAAATATCAAAATAAAATATAATTTAAAATACTAACAAACTATAATAGTGCCACTAAAATAACACTGTTCTATAGACATTTTATTTAATTTTATAATTAATAAAATACATTAGCATTTCAATAATTATAATAATTATTATTAAATACTCATTGATGCAGGGCTGGGATCAAATTCTATTTAGGTAAATTAGAACCTGGGACCCCTGCATGAGCACCAAGGCTCAGTGTGTCTGGCACATGTGTGATAAGCACGCCTCCAACAAATTCATATATTTAATACCAACAAACTGATTGAAATATGAAGTGTGTGATGACTGTAGGGATAGAGAGGACCTCGTCGCAGGCCTGGCAGCGGGGTTTGATGTGCTCGGCGTGGTGCCGGCCGCAGTAGATGTGTCCGTCCTGATAGAAGTAAATGAGATCCACCAGCAGCTCGTTACAGGAAGAGCACTGGAAGCACTGAGGATGCCAGCAGGAGCCGTGACCCGCTCGTGACGCAAACACCGCTATGTCACCGCCGCAGATCTGCCTGCCACACTGAACAACACACCGAGAGGAAGAGAGATTTAGAACGTTTCCAAACTCATAATTACACGGTGGAAGCTCAGCATTTTCTGAAAGCACTGGCTGCTCCCACATGACCGCGGGGATGAGACCGAAACAAGCAGAACAGCAGGAACAGTGAAAGATCCCATGAAATCTCCCGATCACTGCAGTTTTACTGTTTGTTAAACTTTTATAATGATATGACAAAAAAGCTATATGGTTGAACATTTTAAAGCAAAGAAATTAAAACGGTCATAAATTAGTATTGTTATTTTACTGTTGCACTGTACACATTTTTTACAGTAGAGGTATTTCTATAATATTTTCTCATCTGTATAACTTAAAAAAATATTTGCATAATAATAATAATAAATTATTATTATGATTGTGCTGTAAAATAAAAATAATATTATTATTATTTACTTGTATCTTTTTTATAGGACAATAGTATTTTTACTATAGTAATTTTCTTTATTAATTTAATTTATAAATCTTAATAAAATAATAATAACAATAAAAATAATAACAATAATAATAATTATTATTATTATATAATTATTTAATAAAAATTAAATAAATAAATGTCACTATAGTACAATTATTGATATTAATAACAATACTGTAAAACTGCACTAAAATACTACTACTTTTATTATTAAATACAAAAAAATAAATGTCACTATAGTACAATTATTTCCAATAATAAATCATATTTGCACTATAACATATTGTTATTATTATTATTAATAATAATAATAATACTAAATACTCCACTTTTTTTACTTTACAATACAAAATAAATACAAAAGTAACTTATAATAATAATAAGTATTATTAATTGTACTGTAAAATAATTATAATTACTATTCTATTTAAATACTCAATTTCTTTTACAGTACAACAGTATTATTACTATAGTAACATATCTCTTTATTTGATTTAATTTCTATACTTTAGTACAATTAATATAATACAATTTATTATTATTATTATTACTATTATTACTAAACATAAAATGCAGGATGAGTCATAAATATTTTTTTGTAATTCTTTAATACCAGGCTAAATAATGGTTTATCTTGATTTTATCACCAATACATTTACATTTAAGCCGCGTAAGCTTGTGTTACAGTGATTTTACCACAACTAAAATGGTAAATCTGCTTCACATCACGTCTAGCACTCTTTAACAGCACTGTCTTGTTATTTAGCAGAGCGAAGCCTCTATAATAAATAGCTATAATAAAGCCGAAATTAAAACATTTCTAAGTATAAATATGAAAGAAAGATTATGTACTAATTCTGTTACTTCTGTGTTTGATGACATAAAAAAGACTGAGTATTCACACAACTCAACACAACACGACACAAACTGCCTCTCCTCAACACAGTCACACCCTCCTGGCAGCTACTCATCAGCTGGAGTGCATTATGGGTGTTGAAATGTGGCAAAACCCTTGAAATATTGCAGGGGGTGTATGGAAAGTATGCGCTTTTATCTAGTACATATGATCTCTGTCTTGGCTCTGCTCAGGCTGGAGTTTGAATTGATCACAGCATATCAAACAGTTTCCTGAAGCCACATGCCAGACGAGAGCCTCTTCAGCTCAAGTAGCTCAATGCACACTCCATACTTCAGCTGAAGTGATACTCAGAGAAGTATGCACTATTTTTCCCGGGCAGTGAAGCAGTGAGTTGTGATTTCAAGGTGACGTTACAGATGAGAAGAAGCATCAGGGCTGATGTGATCAGCAGACTGTCACACTGTGGTGTCTCTGTTTCTCTACCTGTTGACAGATGGCTCCGGTCATGGTGACTGGAAAAAGTCGTACGATGCCGCGGCCCAGATTCTCTCTCTTCCTCTGCTGGCTGAATAACCTCAATTCTTTCTTCTCTTCTTCATCCAGAGAGTTACAGTACTGAGGCTGTGCACACACACATTTACAAGACATTATCAATGTCATTAATAAAATCAGGTGAATATGGATGGTGAAATTCATGAAAACATCAAAAAACATTGCACCCTAAGAAATTATATTTTGCATAATTTTTTTTTTTTTTTTACTACCATAATATACAACATAAATGCATTTGGGTACGTTTTTTTCCTCTCTTCTGCTTATCATGAAAAATATAAAAATTAATATTACAAAACATTATTACAATTTAAAAGAGCTGCTTTGTATTTTAATATATTTTAAAATGTAATTTACTTCTGTGATCGAAGCTGAATTTTCAGCTTCATTACTCCAGTCTTCAGTGTAACATGATCCATTAGAAATCATTCTAATATGCTGATTTTATACTCAAAAAAATTTCTTGTTATTATCAATGTTGAAAGCAGTTGTGCTGCTTCACCGCCCCCCCCTTCTTTGATGAATAGTCAAGTTCAAAAGATGACAATTTTTTTATTTGAAAAATAAACCTTTTCTAATATTACATGTCTTTAAATTGATAAAAAAGTTACATTAATGTACACCTGACAACATGTAGCGTACTACACTGTTGTTTTTAATAATTAAAAAAAAAATAACATTGCATACTGCTTACTACTATAAAAATAAGTACTGAGTGTGCATAAGCTAGTATTCATCTCTGATTTCAGATCAGAATCTAAGACCAGGCTGTAGGGTTCATAGATTCAGGATTCACAGCTGGGGGTTTGGGATCCAGAGACAAGTTTGAGGATGTAAGCAGTTTTACCTCGCTGTCATGGGCCGGCAGCTGGTGTAGAAGCTGTTTAATTCGATATCGTTCTCCTGGACTGTTGACGTATGGAACCTTGTCCTCTGGAATACAGCTGAAGTACTGATACACCTGTACATACACGAACACAGATAATTAACTGTCACCCCCCTTTTCTGGACATAGACGTGAAAATGCATATGAAATGAAATTCATGAACGCTTTGGAATACAGACCTACGGTTGGTCTCTTTTTAAAGAAGACAATCTGCAGATTATTGAAAGTGAAAAGCATTTAAAAAATAAAAGTTATAGAAGTTTGTTTACTGTAAAGAAAATGTGCTGTACTGTTTTTTTATTTTATGTCAAATATAGCCTATACGTTACAAAATATTTTGGAATCTAAAAAATTGCTATAAAATCAAAGCTATACATCAATTTAAGGTATGTTCCAAATTTGAAGTTGATATCACAAAAATTGAGGTTCCAGTGAGATTTATACCAAAAATAGCCCCCAGGTATAAATTTCTGTCAAAATAGACCTTTCCAATGATGTTTTGTCAAGATTAGAAAAAGTTGATTATAAAATACTATAGTGAATTTTGTAATATGACACTTGACACCGCCCACTAGGGGGAGGAGCCTGCTATACGGATTTAAAGTACAGTTTCCATGGTAATGCAATGTCTGATTTTAAAACTGCTTTCACAGGATGAATTTTGAGTGTTTAAAGCCGGGCTCACACTGTGCGTTTTTAATAGTCCTTTACGATTGTTGCTTGCCAGACTACGAACATGATGATCATGTCAAACGGTGGGATCTCAGTTGTCATTAATGTCAGACTGTACGGCAGTCAAGACGCGTTAAAAACGGGTGCGTGCAAGAAAACTTGTCTGGAGTTTTACATTATCAGCCCATACACGCTCAGTGACTGCGAGCTGCATTACATGCGATGTTGAAATGTTGGCTATCATGAAAAGTAAATTAATGGCGACAATAGTGGCGTATTTAAGAAGAATAGTGTAAGCTGCACTACACACCCAAATGAAAACAGCGCACAACCGGTGTTTATATAGCAAAGGCAACATATCATATGAATTCCGTGAGTGGAGGATGGGAGCGCTGGAATTTATGGCAATTTTAGAAATCTCTAATTCTGATAATGGCTTGTCTTGAAAAACGGAGACAGTTTGACGCTCGTCGTAGGAGAAGTCACACTGCAGGACAGTACGCCAAATCTTCTGACACTGCCAGAATTTTGTTGACGGTCAAATTTGATGGCAACGGCCATTAATCGGCTGTCGGTGAACATGTCAAACCAGCGATCAAAGACTACAGATTTTAGCCTAGGATTATAGGAATCTTTTAGGATTTTCAAAATTTGTCTCAGACGACCAAATCGTGGCCAAAATCGCACAAAGTGAGCTGGACTTAAGGTTTCGATTGATATCTACTTTAGGATGATTACTATGTGATAGGGAAAAAATGCAATAAAAAAGCAAACACTTAAGAAAAAATACACACTTATAATACAATTTTACATTGGCTTAGAAAACTACACACAAACTGACTGGTTGCTTTTCTTACGAGTACAGTCTCTTCCTGTGCAAGTGGGTGGTTACTGGGCAGAATTAAATAAAATGTGGAAAAGACATAATGCTAAATATCAAAACTACACGAGGCAACCAAAATCATGTTGTTTTGTCTGTAGTGAAGCTTGACGTGTGAACCGCCATTATGTCTCATTGTATGGAAAAGAGCATCCGCTTTGTTTGACTGAGTGCAAGAGAGGCTGTGATTGGCTGATTCAGAGCAAACTCTCCAATCAGTGAACACTTTACTAAAATGTCATTGTATGTATAGATTCTTCTGAATACTGCCTGCTCACCTGTTCAGGCTTGATCCCGGGTGGCACCCAGGCGTATTCTTCCGAGGCGCAGCCCGAGTCGTCGTCGGATATGGAGTGCCTCTGGAAGTCTGACACCAGCTTCATCATCATCCTCTCCAGCTGTCCGGGCACAGAGCGCACCACATGCTCCTCCCGCACACACTTACAGTGCACACAGATCTTCCTGTGGAAACAGGTCAGCAGTGCGGCGCTGAGTGAACACAGCCAAAACAACGGACTCAAATTCAAACTAGACCTGTACAAAACTGTTCATGATTTTGGATCTGTTAAAAAAAATAGGGAATTAAAACAATTTTGTGAAACAGACAATCAGGCAAACAAAATTCTATATTCATGGTTAAATTAAAGCAGTTAAAAAAAGACTTTATGAACATGAGAAAGAGGGAGACGGCACTGCCCATGGTACATTTGTGCAACTTCAGCATTTCCTCAAAAAGACAGTTCACCCAAAATAAAAATTCTGTCTACTCACCGCCATGTAGCAAAACAATATTCTTGAAAAGTTTTTCATGAAACATAACAGGACATATCCACTCATTTCCACGGTCAAAGTGGAAACCATTCACAATCACAACTAGTGTGCTATATTCAAAAACCCAAAGTATATTATACTAGTATATTTTTTACACGTACACTAGTGTATGCGTATAATGCGTGCAACACAAATTTCATTATCAGAACAGTACGCACAAACTGTACATGCACCACGATGTTTTTTGTAAACTCCAAAGTATACTTCGGTTGTTACATGTATGCGATGGCCCACGTACAGTGTACGTGATGCTAATTCTTTTTATTTTAATTCTATTCTTTTTCTAATCTATCTGTTTTTTTTTTATTTATTACATAATAAAAAAAAAACCTTGCTACGTTTACTACGTTAAGCTAACTGAGACTTGTCATAGCACTTGCATATCATTGCTCTTTTGTTGATTTTGATTGCTTCCATTGTCCTCATTTGAAAGTCGCTTTGGATAAAAGCGACTGCTAAATGACTAAATGTAAATGTAATTCTGTCACCACTAGTATGCACGTACTGTACGCGCACCATTCAATTTTTGTAATTCGATTTGGGTTGCACGTGTGCATTGAATTTGTTTTGCACTAATCAGTTGTTCCACAAGGTGGCAGCACTGCCTCGGGCCATTGTTTTACAGTAGAAAATAAAACTAAAGAGACACAACAACAACAACAAAATAGCAGAGACTGCACCAACAACAGACTGCAGGCTGCATTGACAAGCGCATGCGTGAGAGAGTCATGAGATTGCCGCAACTTTAATTTAAAAGAGTACAAAGGCATTTTTAACATAACTTCTGGATAAAAATAGTGCAGACACTGGACAAACATGAAGCTTTCTAGAGTGCATGTGTCGACCACCTGTGTTTGCGAACAGGCAGACCAGAGGCTAAGCAGCGGCACAATGAGAGACAGCGTCAGCGCTGTCAGATTACCTCATGTCTCGCTCACCGGTGAGAAAACATCACTTCACAAAGCGCATAATATCACAATCAAACGCCTTCCATTCTCGCTCGGTCTGCAGTAGCGTAATGGAACGCGCTGATCACGTATCATTTCTGCGCAAACTGGGTGCACGGAGGTATGCAAATACATACATTGTCAGGCAGGTGATTGAACAAACATTTTATGATGCTACGCCTTCCAACCAGCATAACAAAAAATGTTTTTGAACCAAATCACCTACTCACCGACTATTTTCTTTAAATCATGATTTTATTTTATTTATTAGTCTTTTTTTTTGCAATATTATTTGTGAAAATAGCGGTATTTTCTTTGCACTAAGTATAAATAGTGGCAAATACTATTTGCACCTCAGTGTATTATAGTACATTGTAAAAACGTATGCAATAGCATATTCAGTGTATCTGATTATATTAAAATAGGGCCCTATGATTTCCACGATGCAGAAAAAGCAGACGGAATCGCAGAATCCAGTCATAAAAACGGAATTTACTGTATAACGCGGAATGTCATGGAATTTGTCTGAATGAATTCATCAAAAGTGGGTCATTATACTTAAATCAAATCGCGAGACTAGTATCTGTAAATATTAAGCTGCAAAAAGACTATTTAAATATGAATCTTGTATGTTGCTCTCTGTATACACGTACTGAAGAGCGCGGTGATTTCAGCATCTGCCGTCTCTCGAAATGAGGACATAAATACATGAACAACATCTCCTCCAGAACTGCTCTGAGAGTCACTTCCTGAGCATTTTACCGTTTCATTTGAGTAAAACTAGCGTCATATCCAGGGCCGTCCTTAGGGGGGGGTACAACTAGTGCAGTCGCACCGGGCACTGTGCTTGAGGGGGCCCCGCGACGAATGGACCGAGGGGGACCATTGTCTAATGTTTTGTTCTCGAAACAAAACATTAGACAACCAAACAAAATGAGTTTCTGACTAAATGTTTTATTTAATGCTATAAATGTGTCTATTTAAAAATATGTATTCATTTAAATGAAATCATGTAAAATCATTTGAAATAAAAGAATAAAGACTTGTTTCGTCCAAAGTTTTTGAACGCATCTCTTGAATGAATGATTCAGACATCAAATACATTTTAACAGACACTGGTCGCCACTTAATGGCATAAAGTAACAAAATATTTGAAGCATAATATTAGGCTAGTTCCAAAGGTCAATTACTCATTTTGATTGCGGCTGCCGCAACATCAGAGTCTATATCTGGACTATAAAATTTTATCCCAATACTTTCGTTATTATTTCGCTAATGTTTGCAAAACAGAAATGTAGCCTACTGTGTAGACTGTTTCAAACATAAAGCTTACATGATGAGCGCTGCTCTCTCTGGATCAGCGGCTACGCGAAAGTAGGTTTAAATATTCCGATGTGATTTCAAAAGTTTAATTGCCATAGCGGAATCGTCATTTAAGAATAAGATTGCATGCGTTTGAATCGCGATCGCAATCTTTTAATGATTTCTTGTGGATACAAATGAGGCTATTTAGCCTATGTATTTTTGTAGCCTATGTCATATTTGTACCAGACCTCAAACATGATCATGATACCTATTATTACTCCTCAAAACACACCGTAATTTCAGGCCAGTGATTCATGACTTACACCACACACTCGCATAAAAGGTGTTACATCAACTCTTGTTGACATTCCTCAAAAATCAAATGTCAAAACTGACCCTGAGGTCAAATTTGAACTTTTTTTTTTTTTTTTTTTTGCTTTCTGCACACTGGTCTTACTGTGAACAATTCATCATTTTGCACAGAAAGAAAAAAAAATGTTTGCCTTCATCAACATCAAATCAAAATGTTATGACTTGCTTCACCTTTCTATGACTTATTTTAAGCTGATGTTATGAAGCCCTCTTATTTTTCAGGCTCTCCCCTCTCTGTCATAAAGAGAATTTTCACAATCCAATCAATTCCTCGATAAAGTCAAGCCCTGTCCTCATTTTTTTTTTTCACTGACTATCCTCTTTCACTCAAAAGTATGTCATATTACGGGGGGGGAAAAAAAGAAAGAAAGAAAAAAGTCTGGGTTGCAAATAGCTTTCATGTTGGTTTCCTAAACATCCATAAATTAAGTAAGGCTAAGAATTAACTATACATCTAACAACTAACTATACACACACACACACACATACACACAAAAAATCGATATGCATTAAATCAAGCTGAGTAATATTTAACAGAAAAAAGGAAAGTAGCATGTGCGTACAGACCAGCCTGTATCACAGCATTGGTTTGACACCTCACCCTGATTTAATTCATCTGCTGTTGGCATAGCAATTTAATTAATGACATCTATGACATCTATTAATGACAACATGATCTAATGTTTCTGATGAAGACAAGCACTGCAGGTTCATCCATGGCAACAACAGAAACAATGACTAGATTCATGGCAGCATATTCAGATCTTATACTTCACTACACAGTCAAACCCATGCCAACAAAAACCACCAACATACACAAACACAATTAAAATCAGAGCCAAACTAATCGTTGCATTATTTCATATAGAAGAACCAAGACCAAAAAAATTTATTCTGTCATCATTTGAAAAATGAAAGTTCAGTACAGTTCCACTGTAGTCTTAGAACCCGTTGACTTTCATTGTATGGACAAACATGAAAAACATTCATCTAAATATCTGCTTTTGAAGAATAATAAAGTCGTACAGATTTGAAACAACATGAGCAGTAAATGATGACAGAATGTACAAAGCCTGACATAAAAAAAAAAGGTTAAAAAAAAAACAAACAAAGGTTTGGGTTTTCTTTTTTATAGTTGAGTGTCATTTGATGCATCTTTTATTTATTTATATATATATATATAATTTTTTTCTACATGAGACATTTGCTCATGTAGTGTGGAGCTCATACTTGAGGAAAAACAAGTCAACTTTACTTAGAGGCACAAACTGAACAAAAATATGCATATATAAATATCATTTGTTACTCTATATCGCTCAATAATATGTCTTGATATTAAAATGCTTAGTTTTATGATCAAAGCTCCATAGTTTCAAAATATAGAATGCAATGCAATGATATTTCTTAAGTAAACCTAAGTTGCTTCAGTCCAGGAAGTGTTCATCTTGGAATATTACTAACAATATACAAGTTATTCTTACGTTTATTAAAATCAGTAAAGACAACAAAAAGACACATGGACCACAACCTGAAGAGTTTTATAATAATAAAAGGCTTTTTACTTGCTATGTAAATGTAGTAGATTGTGTACAACAGGTTTTTAAATAAAATTTTGATTATGTTGATTTAGAGGTCTTAGAAATTTAAATAACAAATATGATACAGCAGGCTTCATTGGGTTACAAGTAAACTGACAAAAGCTGAAGAACATAGATACTGTGTTCTATTCTTAATGAAACGGATGTTGAATTGCCTGTTATACAATTTGAGTTTTTGAACACACTTTTTAAATTTGCTTCAAGAACACTAAATTAATTTATTTAAATGACATGAAGTGTTATATTTTCCTGTAATAATATGATTTATTAGCAGTAGGTGTTTTTAAAAGCCTAAACTAATGTAATGTAAACTAACAATAATCCTTAAAACATTAGATTAAAAGAGAATGAACAAATACGTACTGAATACGGTTCAAGAATCAGCCAGAAAACGTCCAGGTGCGACACA